AATAATTTTTTCAAATGAAATAGGATTGAGATCCTGATTATTGATTCTCTAATTCTATCAAGTTGGATTGATTTATATTGTTTTTTTTGAGAAATAGGATTACTTCCAAATCGGTTTTGATATTGAGCTGATATTTCTTTTTCAATATTGATTAAATAGTTTAACAAGAGTTTAGCTAGACAAAACGCATATTGCTTAACATTTAAATCTAATTGAATTTTTGGGGCTTTAGGCTTGTTTCTACTTTTATTAAAAGGATTGGGGCTGTTTTGAAGACTCCTAATATCTTTCGAAAAGCTAGGTTTTGAAGCGATTATATTATATTCTTAAAATAAATTTAACCTCTCCACTAAATCACTAATCCGTAATCAGCTATACTAATTACACATATTATATATAATTATCTAAGGGCTTTAGGATTAAGACTCTTTTCAATATTAGCTAATCAAGCCATTCAATGAAAGACACCTTTCGCTTGTGTGATTCGAATATTAACATGTTGATCGAATTTGAGGTTCGGGTCGAACCATATTCCTAGCCATCTAATAAGAGATTGGGATACAATTATTTCCGAATTGGGTAGCGTAATTGGATATTTTTTCATTAATTTGGATAATAAAAAGTATATTAGCTCTATTTTTGTTAAATCAAATTAGATTGTATTTTTAGAACTAAGTTTATAGATTTGTTTTGTAACTCTCTCTAGGATTTTGATATTCTTTTTCTATATAAATAAATATGTAATTAAAGTAATATTATTTATATAGGAAAGAAACTTGATTGAATTAGATAAAAAGAGCTTCTTGATATATATAAGGAAAAGAATTGGAGAAATTGGGCTGTCTTGTAATATTCCAATCGAAATTGGTTTAAAAGATTCGATTTGATTATTAAAAAATAGTTTTAATTATTTTTATTAAAGAAATAAAACTATTCAGACTATCAGATTTGTAGGCAGTTTTAGTTTCTTATAAATATCTAATAATCGATTTCTCGAAACATAATCGAATACTCCTTTTATATCTATAAATAATATTGAGGTCTTTTTACTAGCTTACTTATTTCTTTCAATTTCTATAATCAATAAAAGTATAGTATTGATTACTGATTTCTTTTAATATTCTTTTATTTGACTCTTATAAAAGAAATAGATTGTTTTCGCTAAAATATCCTAATTGTTAAACTAAAATCCTTTTGCTTATTTTATTTAGGTAATTTAAGAGTGTAATTATTCTATATACTTTTGAAAGGGAATAATCTGATTTGGAAGCTTTCTTTAGAATAGCTCCTATGACTTGTTTTCAATATTTTGGGTAATATCCTAGATTAATAAGTTTATTAAAGAGAGTGACAAAAAGACCATTGTCCTCCGCAAGGAGCCTGGCTGGTTCAGTGGTAGAGTGATCGGGTCACTCTCCTACTGTTCTACGACTTATGGCTATAGCGATCTGATCCACATGGATCCACCCTATATGCCGCCTCATAGGCCACCTTAGTGTGGACCTCCTGACACAGCTCCACTGAGCTCCGACAATCTACCGCTAACCCTAATAGAGCTTTTCTATTATGGGCCGCAAAAGCGATCGATCGAATGCTGAGGGGGAACTGATCCCCCCTCCAGCCGCCACCACTGCGCCTATGCGCCATTCCGCTACTCAGCGGAACCATCGTTCCGGCTGCTCCTCTCGAGCGGCCCAATAGCCGAATCCTCCGCTCCTCTGGAGCACCATCACACACACACCCGCTTCTTTGAAGCGGCACACCTGTACACACCGCTCCTGTCCATAAAACATGGTTCTATGACAGAAGTAATTGTACAATCAGAGCGCTCCTCTCCATGAGCAGAAGGAAGCGCTAGGAATATGGGGCCAATCAAAAACGGCCCTATTTGCGATCATTACACTGGTTTGTTTAGGATATATAGAAGGAACTGGGTTTACCCTGTGAGGTTTTACTAGCGTGCGCATCAGCGCCTTTCTGTATTTGTAACTCTAGATCTAGCCACGTCTTTCATACCCCTCGGGAGGTCCTCTACAAGACGTTAATCACTATAAATAAATAAATAAATAAATAAATATTAAAGAGAGTAAAAAAGGTTTGTAGGATTGCTTTATAAGTCTTTATAATGATCTTTTAAGTGATTCCATCTAGGTTAGGGGTTTTTCCTTGGATTTTGATTGAACAAGTATTGCTTAATTCGATTTGAATAAGATTAGATTATTCCTATTGCTTAAATTGTTTATACTCTTCCCATTGTGGTTTTGGGGTAATAGGAGGGGATGGGAATAGAGTTGATTTGAAAGTAGAGTATTTTTCTTCGAAAGAGCTTTCTATTACAATATTCAGTATCCTTTGATCTTGAAAGTCTTTAGTATAGGTTATTGCTTTGAAAATTGTTTTTGTATCCTCCTTTTCTAGAAACTTATTCCAATAATCCTTTTTTACTATTTTAATAGCTTGAAAGTACTTGTTTCTAGTAATTCGATATCCTTCCTTAGAGCTATAATTCTTCAGATCTGATTCAATTCTTTGTTTTACTTCTCTTAGCTCTTTTCAGAAATCTTTCAATTCAGATGTCCATTATAGTTTAGCCCTTTTAATTGAAACAATTTTAGGTATACATTTTTCTATTGCTTTTTGAATGATTCTAGTAAGTTTGCTTATTATTTGATTTAAAGTTAGATAGTGATTGTCTTTGTTTTCAAAAGGTTTAAGGAATCCTTTTTGATTGGAAGAATTAATTCTAAATTCGATAGAATAGAGGAATATAAGGATTCCGATTTGAGTATTGATTCGAATTTTTCCTAATTCGCTAGCTTAGTATTGTATCTAGTTATTGATCCAGTATTAGAAGTACTTAGATCTTCTTTTCCTTTTAATTTGAATAGTATTTCTGTATGATCAGATTCTATATCTGAAAGTGTTTGCTAATTGTAAATTTGAGGAGAGATTCCCTTTAATGCTAGTATTAGATCAAAAACACTTGGATTAAGGAGATTAGTTCGATAGAAAATGCTGATTCCGGGCTTGTTTAAAAGAATGAAATTCTGATCTTCAAATTATTCAGCTAATTGATTAGCGTTTCCGTTTTTCTTCGAAAAAGGATCCCATTATGGGTGATGGGCATTGAAGTTGCCTAAAAGGATGGTTTCTTGTGTGATAGATATATTATACAAGCACCTTTCGATTATGAAACCTTTCTCTTTAGCTTGATCAGCTTCATTGTATATATTGATGATTTGAAAGGTTTTGTTTCCATTTTAACAATTGAAAATCTATATATCAGAATCTATTGGAGAATTGGAAGCTAGATTGATTGTAGCTTGAAGAGTTTTTGATATGTATAGTAGTATATATGGCCGGTAATTAGGATTGAGTCTTGATAATGTTTATATGAAATTGGAATGTATAATAGATCTTGAATTTGAGTAATCGATTCCGTTTTTAATAATCCAAGGTTCTTGAATTATAATGAGATCGATGTTAAGTTTTATTGCAAGCTATAGAACATTCTCTATAGCTTGTAAACTTCAATTGAGATTTATTTGAAGAATTCGAATATTAATGTAACTCATTAATGAGTAGTATTCGATTTTTATTAAATAGCCTGATAGGTTTCGCATATTTTCGAATTTGCTACATGATTCCCTTAGCAATTCGAGCATTTTACTTCTAAGTGTTAACAGAACTTTTCTTTGATATTACATACTATACATAAGTGTATTGATATAATATACTTGCCTCCATATAATCCATAGAAAGGGTTCCTTCTACAATAAGTATTCTGATGCCCAAATTCTTGATATTTCTGACATTATATAATTGATTTTGATTCGTAGAATTGTTCTACTTTTATACTACTTTCAGCAATATATAATCACTTTCGAATAGCTAATTCTGCTTCTGATTTTGTAGCAAAAGCAATAACAATAGCACCCTCTCATTAATAGACTCTTCTGAAAACAGATATAAGCCAAAAGGGGATTCCTATAAACTTGAAGTCTAGATTAAAGGTTTTGATTTCATCAAATATAAAATCCATTCCTTTTGTACCTAAGAATTCTTTAATTAGGATTTTGTAAATAATGACTTTGTACCATTCTTGATCCTTTTGGATTCTTTCGAATTTGATAATATTACTCCAAATCGCTTTCTTCTCCAATAAGAATTGTAATATAAAGGGATCATTTGTTGTAATAATGATATTATTATTGAAGGATATAATTACTACTACAATAACTAACCCTTTGATTCCGATCTTTTGAAAAGCTTCATTTATTTTGTTTCAGATAATTAGAAGGAAAAAGGAGGTAGGGTTTGGAAAATCTGGCTTGATTAAGATAATTCGTTTTTAGATAAAATTAGATTTCTTTTCTATATTAATAGATGTAATGTTTTTCCTTTTGGGGACTAAATTCCATTCTTCTTTTTTTGAAATATCAGCGTATATTGGTTTCAATGTAATGGTAATAGCAGTAATGGGCAAAAGAGGTTTAACTAATGCTTTCGCTTGTGATTCGATTTTGCGTATAGCGGTTTCCAAATAGGTGATTTGAGAGGTGATAATATTCGAAGCTGTAGTAAGCTTTCCCTTTTCAGTATATTCTCTAAAGATCTCTAGAAGATCTAAAAGCTTGGATTGTTCTTCGCGTGATTGGGAGAAAAAGAAAGCTAGCACTATAAGATCTTTAGCTTTCAAAATAGCTTTCTTAGGTGTATTTGGGTTGTTTTGGATTCTAGGTTGTTTGTTCTGATTGCTAAGGGGTATTATAGAGCCCTGTTTCTTATTCTGATTAAATATATAGGTAGTATTGGTTGTATCTTGAGTAATAAAGAGATCACTAAATAGATTGAATTCTTCAAATCTTCTTCTAGAACTAACTGACTAATTGGTTGATAGGATAGGGCTAGAGATTTCGAATTGAGAGTTTTCAAAAGGCAGAGAAAGGCTTGAAGATATTGGAGTACCTAGAACAACAATAGGATAAGTATTTGATATAATGGAGGCTTCAGAAGGAGCCTCTATCATAACTGTATCCCTAAGTATTGATGGATTGTTAAGAGAGCTTATATTGAGGATCTAGTTCTTATTCTAGTAGTTCAGAGTAAGAAAATTTTACGCGAATTTTCGTGTATATTTTGTGTTCGGAACGCCAACAACAGTAACACAATAACTACTGATCAGAATCACTAGGGAGCAATTGCAATCAATTTGGTTTAATAATTATAATCTAAATTGATCGCGAACAAATCGTATTTCGAAGAAAAAGTTTCCTTCGAAATTTGTTGTGTGTCTTCAAAAACTGCGTGGTGTTATTGTTGGTACTTGGAAAGACTCAGAGCAACTCGACGATCACGACAAACATATCGTCCATGGATTTATCGATGATGGAGAACGACTTCGGTTTAGGATATACGGAACAAATCGTCAACACACCAAGTCTCTGGCTATTCCTCCAGGAGCTTACGGTTGCTGGGTCAAATTTCAAAACATCGCCTTTGATCCTCATCTAAGTACAAAGACTCCTGAACAAATCAAAGACTACGTCATTCTCAAGTCACAGGAGAACCAAAAACAATCAGATGGGCTTCCGCGAGAATCCCGGGACGTTGATCAAGATGTTTCTACTAAAGTCAATGACATTCAATCATTACCCAAACCAGAAATCCTTCTTGGATACTGGGCGGACTCAAATCAAGTGGATACCAAAGACAAACACGCAGTATTTGGTACTATTGTCGTCAACAGCAATTATAAATTCAGATTCATGATTCGAAAATCTACTCGTGATGGACGTTTTGTGTCGGGCAATGTTCCGGTAGGCGCTGGGAATTATCAGGTCCAATACGAAAAGATCGTGCTCGAGGAGCATTTGTCTAAGCTGAAGCGCTCGGAAGTTGAACAGTATATTCTCATTCGCCAAAGAGAAATACTGGAAGGTGGCGATCGTGATTCACACAGCCAGCAACTCAATGCAGTCAAATTAGCCAAGGCTGCTGTAGCATCACAACATCCGTCAGACCCGAATCTCTCTGGCCACAATGTCTCCAACCCTGATCCCGAGATTGAACAATCTCTCCAACGCAAAGAAATATCGAGAGGAAAGATAGCAGATAGAAAGCAGCCACCGCATCTGCAAGGAGCAAATGATAATTCTGCCAACGACACTCTGGGAGACCAATCTGCTTCCCATGGGAAACTGTCGGCTGAGCGACAACTTGCAAAGTCGATGAACAAATTGAACAAAGCATGGGAAGCTCAACAGGAAGCGAAGACTCAACAGCCAGTCACCTCTCCATGTCCAGAGGCTACTGCAAATGGCAGTTCTCTGACCAACGATAATGTCAAGATACACGGAGGGATCAAATACACGAGAAGACAGAATGGTATATTCGAGGGGAAACATGTTGGACCCCCGCAGCTTTTGAACATAGATGGAGAAGACTACGTCGAGTATCGGGTGCTGACAAAAGCGACTACTTTTTGAAGCAAAGTTAGTAACTAACAACCACTTTATACATGATGAGGGGCTGACGGATCTCGAAGTTGCCATTTCATACATACTCTAGATTACCGCTTTCCTTAAAGTTATCTTTGTTCAATTGAATTTTCTTTCCGTGTATGATCTCTTCAATTAATATGACTTCAAAAAAAATATCTCCTTCTTATACTAGCGAGTTTCTATCTTCGAATTTCTTTGGGTGCGAAAGGGGCTCTTCAATCGTTTAAATTTGTTGAAAAATTAGTATCGAAGTATTGATATCAGGATTAGAATAACCAAAAATGGATTTTATCAAACTCAACACTCGAAATAATACATCTATTTGAATAAGCATTTGTTAATTTCAGATAGATACTCTAAGGTTCCTTTCTATTTCTCATCTTGTATCACCGATTCCTCGCGCGCCTTCCTCTTTTATCGAAATTCACTCAATGCTATTCAAAGCTTCTTTCTTGTATTCTTACTATATTAATTTTGAAACCGTAATAATCTTTACTCGTATTAATACATCGGAGGATAATTATTACAGAAGATATCGTTTTTCACACGCAAGAAAGTAAGTTCATCTGACCTTTGTATATTATTCAACAAAAACTATACAATACCGAATCATTCAACAAGCGTATGAACTTGATCAAACCGTACGAGAGTGAATATGACGATGTTAGTATATGCTATCATACAAAACTTAGCTCAATAACCGTACTGCCGTCCGATAATTCTAATAGAGATTGACTTGATTCGGTTATCCTTCTTATATACTTAAGAGTACATTAACCTAGGTATTTATTTGTTTACAAAACTTAACAAGTTTTCACTCTATTTTACATCTGATATTAACAACTTCAATTTGCAATCAGATTTTCGCTATCAATTCATCCAATATTGAACAAACATTCTTCAAGTTTATCAAATACCAGCAAATATGGATAGTGTAAGTTCATCTTCTTTGTCCTTGAACAAGTATTGAAACTGACAGTTTTGAAGGATGCTGTTGTGGCCGAACGAAATGGCGTCCTCGAATTCCGAACTACCACGAACGATGGAAGCCCAGAGAACTTTGTCCTTCTCACAAAATTTCAACAAGTAGTTCGAAAGGGATTGTTAGAAATGAACGCAGACTATATCGCGAAAACAGTTCTTGACGCAAACAACAAAACTCTGGTCATGATACAAAAGTCGCAAAAGCCAATCAATGGAAAATCGAAAGGGGGCATTGGTCAAACTTTTGAACAATTAGAGACTGTCATTGGTGGGGTTTGTTACCGTGTTTTTGAAAACCGCGGATTTGTTGAGATGATTTACGTCGTGGTTAGTGCGAACAAACAGGGAGGAGGGTATGGGGCGCACATGATGAATCATTTCAAAGACGAGATCAAATACTCTTATAAGGAAACAGTGATGGAAATTCTCGGATATGCTGACCTCACTGCCGTCGGTTTCTTTCAGAGGCAAGGCTTTACGAAAGACATTGAGCTGGAAGAACGCAAATGGGTTGGCGTCATAAAGGACTATATCGCATCGGATCTTATGCAATGCACCTTGCTCCCAAGAATGCGCTATGTCGAAGCAGCTCGAATGATTCGTAAGCAGAAGGAATTTTTGCTCGCCACGATGGCTGCCGACAACAAAAGCAAGGTTCAACATCACCCTCCCGCGCAATGGGCTCGAGGAATTATTGGCCCAATCGACCCTTACTCTATTCCCGGCATTCGACACTCTGGCTGGTCACCAGAAATGGATGAACTATCTCGTGAGAAAGAATTGACGCCCCACACCGATCCACTCCAGGACTTCTTAAATCATTTGAAGGAGGGGAAGCATGCTTGGCCTTTCCTCCAACCTGTTGATGCGAAGCAAGTCGAAGACTATTATACGGTGATCAAGCATCCGATGGATTTGCAGACCATGCAGCAAAAGCTGGATCAGGGTCTGTATGATACACCAAAAGCTTTCGTGGAAGATGTCAAGTTGATCATCAAAAACTGCAGACAGTACAATAAGCCAAACACCACCTTTTGTAAGAATGTGGCTAAGCTAGAGAGGGACATGAAGGATTTCATAAGGTCTGTGCCAGAATGGAAAAAATATATTAACATACTTAGATAAGTTGAATTGAATTCATCTTCCCTTATCGAGCGACTGCTTTTCATACACTGGCAGGAATCGAAAGATATCAGTTGATGGAAATTTCTTTGAACACCTCCCAAGTCTCCAAAAGGTGTTAGAGCATCTGCGTCAATAGCGGAACATCAAGTCAATTAAAAAGTAATCGAGTCAGCGTTGGTATCGCGAGGAATTGGCCATTTCTTTTCCATAGTAAACACATACAGTAGCAAGTTCTCAGAGCGAATGCAGAAATCCAATGGCCTTCCAAAACAATACAGTGATAAGATTGTCGTTCATCTTGGAAGTGAAGAAGCTGGCATCAGAGGTCGAGTCCTTGGAATTCATGTTTCTAGATGTGTTTAGTTTCTTTTTTCGGCTTCCTCAATCCCCTCAGGCCTTGCAAATATAATCTAATCTTCAACCTTTTCATTGTTGTCGTGGATATTCTAGTCCGCTTCATTGCATCTCGAGATTCCATCTCAAGATTCCTACAGGAATCAAGAGGGGAAAACGCAATCCTCTATTCAAGTATTTCAGTGAATTCAAAAAGATATGTAGATCCAAAAACAGTCATTTGATCCTCTTAGCAAGTTGCTTCCCTTTCGACAAGATTCCCAACCTTAACATGTAGTGCGTCCTCTTGGGCTTGTAGAAAACTACGATGCTATGTTGCAGATTTTTTTACTCGTGGTGGAACTCAAAGGCGGAGCAAGAAATGAATGAATAGTCTGAGCTGATCATACGTTGTTGTCCCTCCACAGATTCTGGAATCTAAGATGAGATTAAGGGCCACCTGGGCACTGCAGGTGAGCAATTAGCGGCAAGCCACCTTTGACAGCCACCACCCCTCGCTGCTTTAATTATGGGACGACGCGTCAAATACCTACCTAGGTACTTATTGAACAGTGAAAGGATCGCATACACATACTAGGTAATAATTTTATTGTGCTCTGAATATCCCCTAAAACTCCCAATCACTTCTTATTAATAACCCAGGAGATTGCGCCGATTATTATTTAGAATCCCCTCTCCAAGCTCGCCACAACTCCAAGTCCAGCTTTAGTTACAAGCTTGATACCGCTACTCTGCAAAAGAACATACAACTACTGAATCCTCACTGCTTACTTACAATCGTTCATTCACGAGGTCTGGGATGGTAGCACCACATCGGCATCCTCATCAGCCCTGTCGTCGTGATCCTTTGGTCTGTTCCAAGTGCGAATATGTCCTAGTCCATTGTTAGCTCAATGATACTGCAAAGCTCGGCCATCCAAAGATAAGCGAGTGAAGAATAGACATACCAATCTTATCGCTGGTAATAATATGCTCCTCTGTAAATGCCAAAGAACACAGTGGATCATCAGCAACAATTTTCGTGCACACGGCGGGTAAAATGGATATCTTTGCCCTTGGCTCTACTGGATGATCTACTGTGGTCTCCGATCTTCCCTCGGCATAGGAAAGGTTTGAGTTTGAGCGAAATCGACCAGCAGTCGCTGTTGTGCCCTGAGTTTCAACCCTTGAAAGGGAGCTTGGCATTCGGGAAGATATACTACCTCTTTGACGAACAGACGCCTGATTTTTGCGTTAGTTGACATGTGCTACATGAAAGTATCGAAGAGTGAGGGCTTACGGCTTTAGGACGATGCAACATTCCAACACTAAAATCCCATAGCAAGAGTTTGCCATCTTCGCCCACACTACCAAAACGATAATTTCGGTCGTCGCAACGCCATGGATCAAAGGCTACGTCTGTTACCCAGGATGTATGACCAGTGCAGCGAGCTATAATGGCAGAATCTGCCATTGACCATATAGAGACGAGATCGTCCTGACCACCAGAAAGAACATATTTGCCATCAGGTGACCAGCAAACACAAGTCAAGCCACCAAAATAGCTGTTATAAATATCGAGTAATCTAGGCGGATTAGTATTGAAAGTGCGATGAAATGGGATTTGCTTACTGCTCTTTCAAATAGTCAATAATTCGTAAGGTTCCATTTTCCGATACGACAGCCAAATGCCTGTTGTCAGGCGAGAAAGCGAAACTATTGATGGGCTGGTTGGAAAGTTTCCAAAATGAGACTGGATTAAACTTCTGATTTTTCGAATGCACTGATTTATCGATCTGAAGTTTGGCTTTTGGCATGGAGGTTGGATCCAGATTTTCTTCACTTGGTACACTGCCATTGCCATTGGGTCCGACCTCTTCTGGTACGAAAGCTGCGTCATCTTTCTCCTTGTCGTAAGCAACTAAAGACCCGTCCATATGAGATGCTAGAAATAGATTCTCGGAACCAGGAATCCACCTGATTTGTGTGACGGGCGTTGAATTTATAACACACTGACGTTGTTAGAATTTCGTATAGACTTCATTAGAAAATATTGCTTACGTTCTTATTCAACCGTGAATATTTCTGGGTGAAAGGCTCAAACCAAATAATTTCGCCAGTGGAAAACCCCATTATAATATCTATATGATTTGGACTTTTGGTGACTTGATTGACATCATGACAGAGACAATGGGCTTTAGTGAACAAAATTTTGAGTAATTGATCTTGCTGTTGTAATGATAAGCATTGAATAGTCCAAGATATCGAATGATCACAACAGAACTTACTTTATTTGGAGAAGACAAATCAAGCCACTGAAAAGCTCTATTTATGTTGGCGAATCCAAAGTACCCATCGATTGGGCGATCTTGTAGCCTCTTGACCAAATTTTCGTTGACAATACATCGTGAAATAAATGAAGAATTACTCTTCAAAATGCCACTCTTTGGTTTCCGACGCTTTCCAGTATCTTTAGTCGTCAACGATAACAATGAGTTCCCCTCCCCAAACGCCGGTGCGGACCCTATGGATGTCGCAGCTCT